AGGGAGCTTCGTAACTTAGATCCATATTAATATTCCCACTTGGAGGCGCTGCGCCGCTACCCTTTGCTTACGGGGTTAGCATGGACTTACTTGACGCCATCTGAGTCCATTGTCACCTCAACTCTTCCTCGAGTCCAAGGGGTACCAGTGCCAGGGCCTTTGTTGTGGTGTTGGGGAGCGGGGGGCGATGCCAGAGGCTTCCTGCCAAAAGGGATTTTTCCTGTGCCATCTGAGTCCGTGTTCATATCAACTCTGCCCCAATTTGTCAAAGGGGTCCGGTACCGGGACCAATGTCGAGATATGTGGGAGCTGGGGGCGCTGGAGGAACAGGGCGTGCCACAGCCATATGACATCCGCCCATGAACCAGAGGGGCCTAATTCCATTTGGGGCATTGGCATCTCTCCTCCACTCCAAAACCAGGCGCCTCCAACGCCAGATTCTCTGTTGATATCCCATTTGCGAACACTTTCATGTCACTCTCACCTAACCAAACCCTTATTTCCCCAAACCAGTAAGCACGCGCAATGTGCTTTTTTTTTTTTTTGATCGGCAACCACGATCTATTATTTATCATTGTTCCAAAACAACCTAATTCTTTGATGTTGCCACTGCTGATAAAATATGTAAATTAGAAAAAAAAAATCAATTTTTCTTCTAAAATTGCATAATGAAAATAGCATTCTTTCATTTCTTAATTTATTTCACTACTATATTATTTAATTTGAACTCAATACTTTTTGTTTTTATTGAAAGTAAATTAATATTGAGGTACTTTATTTTCCTTTCTCAGACGTACACCCGTTGTTAAAAATTATGTAATAATTCCATGTTTTGGGGGATAAAAAAAAATCCCCTTACCAGCTTTATCCTTGATTTCGAGACTACACGCGGATGGATATAGAGAGGGTCATGTATGATCTCTAATCTTCAAGAAAAGAAGTCTACCCTACAAATTTAAATTACTGGGAGTGAAGTATAAGTATTATTCATGGAACACACTAAAACTTAATTATGTAATTCCACAAGTGGTAAGCACAGATTTTATTATAGTTTAATAATAATTCATTCTGCTGCTGCTGCTGCTTATATAATAGCAGCAATTATTTACTGCCTTCATACTCAGCAGACAACCCATACCATTGGAAACAGCTCTCTAACTACTAAGCAAGGTTGATAGTTCCCTCAAAACAATTGTTATAGCCTGGTTCACTTTGATATTCTCCTTTGGGGGAACGGTCATTTCACTTTCGCCAGAGGAGGCCTCAATCTTTGTGTGGTTTTAGTAATAGATTGGTCATCTTTGGAAGAGGATAGAGAAAGCTTTTCGTCCATGGATTAGCTACAAAACAAAGGTTTTATTAATTGGCCTTATTCCTCTTGTATATTTCTACCATCTTTATAAATGAGGAAATGGATTCTGCACTATGATTTTAATGCTTTTTGTTAATGTTATCAATGATAATAGTCAATAGAAGAGACAAAACATGAATATAAAACTCGGGAAAAATCCCTACCATTCCACAGAGATGAGTTCGAATTTTTCCCTTCCCCAATATATATCAAGGGAAAAAATTCAAACAGTTAGAGATCATAAATATGTGTAAGATCTTGTTTTTTCTCATTGTATAATGCATGATTCTATTCTATATTATTTCTATAACATGATCATCTGGATTGTCTTAGATCAAATTCTTATAGTATAAGTACATGTAAATCACCCTATTTATAGTTCCATACAACTATTTAGATTTCAATAGAGTGGTGCTATCAAGACACTGGAATTGTTTGCAAAACTATATTTCTAGCTTCTTTTTGTTTTTTAGATGTGGGTATAACAACATCGACTTATGAATTAAATGGAATTAATTTTTTAAGTATAGATTTTAAAACTTAAATCTTAAATTTATTTATTTATTAATGGATTCAACCATTAAGGTTAAAATTTTTTTGAATATAGTGATTGAAACTTGTGGATTATAAAAAATACATGTAATTTTACTATCAAAAGATACGATTAATTGATGAGAATGAACAATATTATTCTATTTCTTTAATTCTCAAATATTGCATGATAAATTAAAATTATGATTCTAGTAGAATGGATCATTTTACAATGGTGGACTAAGAAGTTGACATCGATGAACAAAACAGTTTGTAAATATATGTGAGAATAATTTTCACAAAAATTGAGATAGTCATATTATCTATAAAAATGAATTTACAAGAATAAAAAATGTTTCAATCAGCAGATTCTCACTGTGTAGGCCACCGAATGCAAATTCATCGCGTTCATAAATCCCCTGGCGCAGTAGCACAAAATGCTTGAGATTCCCTTAAGACCACTAACGAGCAATGGAAATTGCCTTCCCAAAGTAATAAAGTTTTATTTTTCATGTGGAATAAATTCCAATCAGCATCAACTTATCTTGGTGCTTCTGTCCTCTAAAAGTAACGCAAGATGTTCTGCCTCTGAATTCTTTTGTTTTCTATGCTTGTTTGCGAGGCCTAGTTTTTACGGTGTAAGAGGGAATGCTGTTTTGGATTCCTTTCGAGCAATAGCAACTTTTAGAATATGTTAAGATGAAAATTAGTAAAGAAAAAGGAACAAAGCAGGGGAAAGGGAAAAAGAGGAAAAAGAAAGGAGAGTAAAGAATTAATACTAATTTTGTTTGGATAAATTAAGAAAAAGAAAAAATGGGAGGGAAAGATTATATTTTTTTTATTTAATTAAATAAATTTAAGAAAAATAGTTATAAAATTAATTAAAATTTCATAAATTTATATATTAAAATTAAGTTAAAATAGAAATTTTAATTATATTTTTTTAAAAAAAAGAGTAAAAAAATAAAATAAAAGTAAATTCAATCCTTTTAAATACTCTTAAATTAAAGAGATTAAAAATAAAAAATTTGAAGGGAATTTATCACTTAACCATCTATCTTCCCTTCCATCTCCTTCTCTCCTTTCCTTAATGACTTTATCCAACAAAGAGAGAGAAGAGAGCTCTCTTTCACTCTCCTTCTCTTTTCCCTTAACTCCCTCAATCCAAATAGAGGTTTAAGGAGAAGGAAAGGAGTTATATTTTTGCTGGGATGTGGTGTAGTGTGCAATAATTTGGTTCTTAATTGTGGTTAGCTAGAAATGAGAAAATATTCAAAAAGGGACCTTACAACTGAATTGACACACTACCTTACATAGTTACAGTTTAGAGTTTTAAATACAGTTTTTTTCTGTTAATTAAACACTTATCTCTGGCTGGTCCTGAGCAATCATGTCATGTAATCCCTCACTCTGAAATCCCTACAGACCCCATTACAATTGGAGAAGTCGCCCCAGTTGAACCATGCTCACCCTTTCTCCATTTTGAAATCGGAACGGTCATCCTTCTCAAAAGGAAATCGTCTCCCTTATCTAGGACACTCATGTCAAAGGCAAGTCCTCACTTTGAAATCCCTACAAATTCCATTAAAATTGGGAAAGTCACCCTAATTAAACCACGCTCGCCCTTCTCAAATTGATGAAATCGACCCGATCGAACCCAAGTGCCATGCTGGCCCTCCTCCTTTTTGGTATCGAAACGATCACCCTTCTCCAGGAACATGGAATCGCCACACTCACCCTTCTCCCTTTTGGAATTTGCATGGTCACCCTTCTCCAAAAACCTAGAATCACCCTATCTGCATGTCCCGTCTTGCAATCACACACTACACACAGCTGAAAGTTCAATTACCTTTTGCACATTATATCTTTTATTCCCAAAAGTAATTAGCAATAGAGTAAGCAAGAAATTTAGGGACTAAAGTTTATTGGAAGTATATTAATTATTAAAATTTGGCGTATTAATTATTAAAATTTGGCGCCTTACTCTTGAATTTTGCACAATATGTTAATAAAGAAAAAGTGTTGAAAAAATTAGTAAAATTTGAATGATTAAAATTCAAGATAATGTTGTTAATGATCTAACTAACTTAATAGTAATTTTTTTTTATTAGAAGTAAGATATTTTAAATTTAAATTACATAACATATAAATGTGGTGAGATAGAGTGAGAGTTAAAAGAATATTACTTCTCATTATGTAATCAAAATTAAAAAAAATAAATTTAAGTTAGCGTCTATTGAATAAATTATTATACTTCCCAAAAAGGTTTAGCATTCTCAACCTATGCTTTTTTTTTTTAACATAGAAAATGATTAGAAATTAAAAATTAAAAGTTAGGTTAGAACCTTGCCTTTGATAAGGTTTGATCATTGGTCAAGAGTGCAATCCACCGACAATCCTATTGAGTTGCAGTGACTACCAATACCAATAGAGCCACAACAAAGGAATGCATTCTAAACCTATGCTTGTGCCTAGGCCGCAAGGATAGCACCTGTCATATTCGAAAAAATGTTAAGTTTTTACGTTTTTATTATTTAAAAAGATAGTAAAAAGATTAAAAAAATCTACTAGTATAGCATAGTGCAGCGCAACATGGCACCGCCAAATCAAGTCTTACCCATTTATCCACCTTTAGTTATTATTAAAATAAACCTCTATTTTTTCTTTTTCAAGTAAAACTCCTAACATTTTTAAATTAATTGAAATTACTTTCTCTCACGCTTCAGTTAAAATAAATTAGCCACGATATAACGAATGGCAAAATCATACACTATTGTTTTGTCTTTTTCCTTTGAAGGTTAAATGCTAAATTTGGTCCCTCAACTTTAGTGAGTTGCACATTTTTGGTCCTTTAACAATTTTTTGCACTTTTTTGATCCCTCAACTAT